GGGAGACAGAATTTTCTCATAAAGCAGGGGACGTCATTCGGCCACCGGAGTGAGTGCCATGTGTTTCCATGGCATGGCTGGAGACTAAACGTGAATCTCCAGCGATATGGTATGACCTTGTCCCTGAGCGCGCTGGTGACTGGTTGCAGGGCACTTCTGGTGTCCACTGTCATATCCGACAGGTACTGGAACAGGGAGACTGTGACACCCTGAAAGGTGATCGCTAGGGTGTCGCGGGCCACAGCCATTATGCTCTTCTTCAGGGAGAAGTCATGGAGGCAGCATAGTACATCTCTGGGACTGCCATCTTGGCGAATTGGGTCCATGTGCCCAGTCAAATTTCATCTCTGCAGGAGCTGTTGGGCCAAGTATTTGCTGGAACAGTGCTTCCAGGGTGGTGACCACTGGTGTGGTATCATGCTCCGGCAGGCCGCGTACCCTGATGTTTTGGTGCCTGCTGCGGTTCTCCAGGTCCTCAACCTGTCTTCTGAGGGTAAGCAACATGTTGCCTTGGTGTGTTGCCGCTATTTCTGTTGCTCTGTGCCTCTGTTGGCAGATCTGTGCCACTGAGGCCTCTACACGTGTGTCAAGGGTGGTCAGGTCCGAACGCAGGCCCGCCAGCTCCTCTCTCATTGCCGGACAGAACTCCTGAATAAGCACTTCGGAGTGTGCTCTGGTGAGCATGCTGTCTGAAATAGTTGCCAATTCTGTTCGTCTTTGCGTCAGGATCTCGGTCTGCGGGGTCCCATCTGGTATACCATCATCTGTGCTCTCTGAGCTCGGGGAGGCGGGCGTTATTTTGCCTGGGTCACAGCCCCGTAGCTCCGATGCCGGTGCATTGACAAGGGGAGCCCCCCTGAGTCGAGGGGGTGCCCAGGTGTATTTTTGTGTGCACCATGTTCAAATTTGTAAGGGATTTCTAGCTGTTTTTCGGCCTTGGGTACGGACCTAGTTTAACATGTGTCTTGCACAATGCTCAGTCAGGTCACGCCCCCCTACTTGGTCTAATTCTTGTGGTGGTACTGCTAATAGCGTTATTAAACGTTTTTTTAAAGAGTACTGAAAATTGGAAATGGATGACACACACAAACCATAACTTGCTTAAACATAAACATAAAGTATGTGCACTGAATGAAGTAGATTATACTTTTTTTTTTTAATGTACTTTTGTTTTATATTTTCTACTATATATATATATTTGTCCCTTCAAAACAGCTAATAAACTACAGCTTTACAGAGCTAAGCCCCCATATCATAAACTAACATCTGACAATACCAGTACGTTTCTTGTACTATGAAAAATTAAACAAAGAACACAATTCGACTCAACACAATTCTGTTAGTTCACTGTCTCAGCCTTTGTTCAAAATTAAAAGTTATGTCCCTGCAAAACAGTTTAAAGAAATAAAAATAAAGTGTTCAGTTTTTCACAGGGCTTAAACTAAAAGCACTATATAACAATTCAGCAACAGACAGACAGCCCTGCTCTACCTCTAAGTGACTGACTGTTTGTCTGTGTCTGACACAACACTACCTATCTTAGTGCCTTCCTTTGGTTTAACAAAAAAAAAAATGTTGGGAAATGGAGACAGAATCTACAGTCGATAAGATTAATTCTATCTGTCTGCTTAGTCTGTACTGTCACCAGCTCCAGAACTAGCTAGCTAAAAGACTGCAATTCAACAAACTAACATGCTGCTCTACTGTTGTTCTCACTGTCTCACTCTCAGTGATCCAATAGGAACAGGGAATGAGGGTCAGACAGTCTGCTGTACAAGTTCAACATTGGTCTAATTTTGCAGGATCTTGACATTGACTGAAAAACACTCAAACTATTTCAAAATAGCACTGCATGATGATGGATCCGTGTGATTGGCTGAAATTCACGTGCGCGATTACCTAAATAAAAGGATGTTGTTGGAACAATGTATGGTCATTGAGCCATTTGTTCATTATAACGAGAACCCTCCATGTGTCCTTCCTAGGAAAATATTGTATAAATAAAATAAATTGTGACATTTGTAGAACCGTTGTTTTTCTTTCTTTTTCTAACTAAATCACCATCATTTTCTGTAATTTTGTGGTTCTTCTGATACTAAATGCACAACTAATATGCAGACACCTGGAAGCCCTCCACAGCTATGCTACATTCATTGATATTCAGAGAAGAGCACATTGGTCAGTGAAGGTGATCACTGATGCAGGGACCATTCATTGAAGGTGTGATCATAAAGACAGTGGGTGGTCTTTTCCTCAAACTCCAAAGTAAGTGGATTAGAGAATTTATAAATAAAATGGCTAACCTTGACACACCAGATGTCTAGCAAGCAATTCGTATGCACAATTGTACTAACAAATTAAAGATATCTGGAGAATTTAAAGAATTTAATTTTATTGCACATCCATGGTTAACACTCATACTGCCATCACGGCACATTTTAGTAATTACAGGAACACTTCAAACACCTATAGCACTTTAGCTTGCTGAAATGCTTTATATGTAAAGAGTGTGTCCTCTTTTTTTCATTTTACAAAAATGTCATATTTCAATAGGAATTTGCACTTTTATTAATTAATCTTGTCACCCCTTGCTAGCTGTCAATCAGACAATCTGTCCTGTTACTTCCTAGTTCTTTAGCTCAGTGGAGCTAAACTCAAGAGGTAGGCAATTGCTCAAAGAACCTGCCTTGCAAAGACTTCTCATTGAGCTGCAATGGGACTGGACAGCCACAGAGAGTCTTGGTGGGGTTAGAAAGAGAGGGCTTGCAAAGGGATCTGCAGCTCTTGCAAGCTGTTTTTAGATATACCGCACTGGGAAAAATGCATAGTTAAATACATAGAATACAAAAGAAAATCAGCGCTGATTACCAAACAATATGAGGATAGGCAGCAACCCAAACAAAGGAGACTCCTCAAATCCTTCAACAAATGGGAAAATACAAAGAAATGGGGTATGGCTGCGCCAGTAAGAAATAATAAATAAATAAAATAGCATACAATAGTCCAAAAGAGTCTCAGTAGAAGCTTGATGAGATATAGATGAGTAGACTTTTTAGTAGAAGTGGGTGTGTCCTAGTGTCTCAGGGTATTCGCATATATGAGAAATAAGGAGACAGTGGCAGCTAGTATTGCAATACATATAAAATTCAGAGGGTAAAATAATAGTAGAAGGTAAAGAACTCTCATTTAAAAGAGCTATGGCCAGCTCTGGTGTGAACAACAGCAATATTGAGCTGATAGGGAGACAAGAACGCCTCAGAATATTGAGAGAAGGAGGGGACATCCAGAAGCTCAATTCATCCATTGCCGGCATGCAGTGCCCTTTGGTTGATGACAGGCATATTTTATGCACAGAATTGACATTAGACAGTTCGAAACATAGTTCTGGGCTGTGTAAGTCACATGAGCCAGCAGTTTAACTAGCCCTTGGCAGATTTTTATGTATGCGCAGCATTTCAAGCAGAAAAGCTGCACATGCAGATTACTTACACCATGACTATTTCAAATCACTGAAGTGGTCATGGTGGTTGGCCTAACCCTTTAAGTACAGTTCAATCAGAAAGTTTATTAGTAAATCACTTTCTTATAGGAAAATTGCCTCTTCTTTGGAAGTTTCACCAATGAATAAACCATTTAAAATCACCTAGTATTTGTGTTAACTTTTTTTTATTTTCTTACATGAGAAGCTCTGTTTTCAAATGCCACTGATCATTAATTGATCAATAATTTATTTCTACATCTCAACTACAACCTTCTATAAGCAATCAATAGACAACTGACGATCAGTTGTCTATTGATGGCATTGGTTGTACTGTAATTGTATTGCTGTTATAGGTCATTGGAAATTGAGTAAAGAAATGTAATTGTGCACTGGAAGTATATACTGTCCATGTGTATGGTTTGTTTTTGGTCTCGTTTTTTTTACATGCAATAAAGATCCAGATTTGATCCCTCTACCTGTAGAAACATTTGGGAAAATAGTAGACTTTTCATATATGAAAATATATTCACTAGCAATAGGTATGCAAAAATCCTATGCAAAAAACGTAATTTAATAATGCTTACAGAACAGCAAAACAGACACTTTTTTTTTTTAATTTTCATTTATTTGATGGCTTTTTGATTCTTTGAAATGGCAGCCTGAGCTCACTGATTGGTTGGCTTCTAAGCCAACCAATCAGAGCACTCTACAATGAAATATCAGTCGGCACATGAATTTCGCAAAGTAAAAATGCATTATTTTAAATGTGGCACACTAATTTTTATCCAATGCCGGTCTTTTTGTTATATTTAATGGTAGTATTGGGAAATAATGGATTTTTATATGACATTTTTGGAGCTAAAGAAAGGAAGACTTAGGTAGAGGATTTATGAAGGTAAATATATTTTATGGTAATTAGTGATGTACCGAACGGTTCGCCAGCGAACGGTTCCTGGCGAACATAGCATGTTCGCGTTCGCCACGGCGGGCGAACATATGCGCGGTTCGACCCGCCCCCTATTCGTCATCATTGAGTAAACTTTGACCCTGTACCTCACAGTCAGCAGACACATTCCAGCCAATTAGCAGCACAGCCTCCCTAGCAGACCCTCCCACCTACTGGACGGCATCCATTTTAGATTCATTCTCAAGCTGCATGCTTAGTAAGAGGAGGGAAAGTGTAGCTGCTGTTCATAAGATAGGGAAAAGCATAGCTAGGTTAGGGTTAGGGTATGCTTTTTTTTTATTTTATTTTTCTATGTAATGTAATTGTACTTAGTTGTCTGCCACTGCTGCCAGCTTCTGTGTCAGGCTCACAGTGCATACTGTGCCCATTTCCCCAGTCAGTGCCACCAAATACATCTGGTGTCACAATGGCTTGGATTTAAAAAAAAAAACTTTTTTCACTGTTATAGATTGAATAGCAGTCAGTTGTCTGCCACTGCTGCCAGCTTCTGTGTCAGGCTCACAGTGCATACTGTGCCCATTTCCCCAGTCAGTGCCACCAATTACATCTGGTGTCACAATAGCTTGGATTTAAAAACAAAAAACTTTTTTCACTGTTATAGATTGAATAGCAGTCAGTTGTCTGCCACTGCTGCAGCTTCTGTGTCAGGCTCACAGTGCATACTGTGCCCATTTCCCCAGTCAGTGCCACCAATTACATCTGGTGTCACAATAGCTTAGATTTAAAAACAAAAAACTTTTTTTACTGTTATAGATTGAATAGCAGTCAGTGTCCTTAAAGCGGGTGTGTTACGCTAACAGTGGATACGCTGACCAGTACCACTAATTAGATCTGGTGTCACAATAGTTTGGATTTAAAAAAAAAATAAAAAATCTTTTTTCACTGTTATAGATTGAATAGCAGTCAGTGTCCTTGAAGCGGGTGTGTTACGCTAACAGTGGATACGCTGACCAGTGCCACTAATTAGATCTGGTGTCACAATAGCTTGGATTTAAAAACAAAAAACTTTTTTACTGTTATAGATTGAATAGCAGTCAGTGTCCTTAAAGCGGGTGTGTTACGCTAACAGTGGATACGCTGACAAGTGCCACTAATTAGATCCTGTGTCACAATAGTTTGGATTTAAAAAAAATAATAATCTTTTTTCACTGTTATAGATTGAATAGCAGTCAGTGTCCTTAAAGCGGGTGTGTTAAGCTAACAGTGGATACGCTGACCAGTGCCACCAATTAGATC